GGAGAGGGAGAAGGGGGATGTGGTTTGAGGTGTTGAATTCAGTAATTCGGTAAAACAGGAAAAAACTGGAGAGTAAGCAGGGAGAAAGGATAGAATCAGGGGGTGAGGACAGGTTTAGGGCGATTGTCTGTGTAGCTGAAGATGGTGTGATGGTAGAGCTGCAGTTTGTTTGCGGGGTGTTGCAAGTCTCCAATTTATTGGGAGGTGTTAATCTTGTTGCCTTGGGGAATTGCGTGAAAACCCCCTCTTAGATTTCCCTTGTCCAGGGTATCATGAAAAGGGGGGGAAAAAAATTGGCAACGTTAAATGGGCTGGGACAGTGTTTTTTCCCTAACTGTGCCTTGATTCCAACTGTTTTTATCGAGCCCTGATGGAAGGACTCAAAATGTGGCTGTTTCATAAAGGGTAATCGTTCACTCATTTTATCGTTTGAGCATGAGGGAATGTGCAGGGTACCTGGCAAAACAGAAAACACTTAGTGTCCTGAGGATTATATGGGTTGGTTGCTTAACTACAGTAGGATAGAAGTTGGGATCCTCAGTAGGTAAGGGTAAAGGAGAGGAGAGTGACAGGACAGGTGACAGTAACCATTCCTGTACTCCTCCTTCTCCTTGAGATCTGGTGAAACTGCGGAGTTGAGTCTCAAAAGGTTGTGTCTTAGACTATGGTGGTTGTTTGTGTATCATGTGTAGAGCGTGTGTGTACTGTGTATGCATTTATGTATTCCAAAGCTACAGCAAGAGAAAATAAAATAACAGTGACCAGGGCACGAAGACAGACAGACAGGAGAGGAATGCAGGAAAATTGGATCGAAGACAGGGATGCTGACAGTTGGGCTTGGGAGGCAAACATAAAAAACAAGGATTGCACTTAGGGCACGGTGGGGTTTCAGCGAAGTGATTCATGGGGGGGATTATAGTGTCAAAACAGTTTCATTTTCCTTTTCCTTTTTCTTGAATAGCAAAGTAGAGAAGTTGTGCAAGTGTCAGATACTTGAAAAGATGTGGGGGAAAGAGTAACAAGGTTGAGGGCAGACTGTTATTGGACAGAAAGGAAGGGGTGTGAATTTTAGAAGCACCAGAACTTGACCACAACCTTTTGATGCTGGGGTGTGAGCGGTGGGTGGGGTGTCATGTCCTGGGCTCCAGACTTGTGTGATAAGGGAAAAAAATGTGTGAATAGGGGAAGATGGTATGGGGGAGAAAGATAAGGAGTTTACTTGTCTGGTTGTAGTATCCCTGGTGTGTTATTTGTCACTGTAACTATGTGTGAGTACAAAATGGAGAGAGGTGGAGTGAAGTGACAGAATGCAGGAAATACTCTGAGTAATGAGTGTTTAGCAAATGGTACTTGGGTTGTGGAACCGATTTAAATTGTTGTGAGGAACAACATAGCTCTGGCTGTGAGCATTTGATGACAGTTTTAGGTAGGCTGTATAGTAAACTTCTCTGTAGCGTGTTTGGTCTTAGTGATTTCTGCTGCGTGTGCAGAGTTTGTGGGACAAAAGCATTTACTATATCCAGTTTATAACCTCTCATGCTGTGTTATGGAATCCCAGTGTGAATGTTACTTATCATGATGTGGAAAATTATTTACTACATGTAGAGCAGATCTTTAGCTGTGTTTTGGTGACATTATGGATATGAAAGGGAGAATAGGTATTTTGGTATCTTGAAATGAGGGCGGGAGAATGGTTTGGATTTTTGGTGTAAGGATGGAGTCTTTATTGCTTCCAGTCGATGGCCTTTGGAAGGGAAGCTCATACTCAGCTGCTCTGTTAGTTCTTCGAAGCTGTGGGGTCATCCCAATGGCCATCTCCTGTGAAAGACAGGAAACATTGATAATGAGAGTACCAGAAAAATTAAAACCCCTTTGTCATTGCTGATAATTTGGCATTAATTATATAGTAATAAAATTCTTTGTGTGCCAATGGGCTTCCAGAGTAGAAGTTCTTATTTGAAGCCTGTTTCTGCAACTGGCAGTAGGTAGGAGAAGTGTTTACAAGAAGCATACCCAGGAGATCCCAAATTTTGATGTGACTTTACTGAGGACTGCATAGATTTGTGTTTCTTTGGTACTTCATTATTTGTGTACCCAAGAGCTTGTTTTTAAATGTTGTTTTAGCTTGATGCTATTAAAAATGTTTTTCAGCATTACTAGTTACAGTTTTGAAAGAGTTGCATACTTCTGCTTTGGTTATAACTCTTCCCATTAAATTTAATTGAGGCAGTAAAAGTCAAACAATATTTTCATCTCTTGTATAATAACAAAGTTTTTTGGTAACTTTCACTGCAAAGTCGTAATTTCAGGGTTATTCTTAGAAATGTTTAAGCATTTATGTATCTATTTTTATCTTAAAAAGACTTAGACCTCTTAAGGCAATGCAGATTTTCAGGATAACGTAGAATTGTTAGGGTCTATTGCTGTATGAAAAATTCATATAGCTTTATTTTTTAAAATTTCATAAGAGTTGGAATCAAACAAATCTGAAATGAGGTAGTTTGACTTAATGTGTATAAAAGCAGTGAAATAAAAATTAAATATATTATTTAGCGATTTTTTATTCCCAGGCTGCTGTATCATTTTTTTTCTCATAAATAGATGATTTAGCTCTCTGTGCTCTTCATTCCCATAAACACTGATTTGACTCTCTAATATATTTTATTGCTATCGAGGGGTTGTTACACTGACAGAAGCTCATTAGTTGCAGCTTGTTTTCTGTTAAGTGCGTGGTTGAAGTCCTCATTACCACTTGGCTTCCTCCCTCATTTGCTTTCCATTTGGAATGTGTTAGATTTAATATCCACAGTTAAAATTGCCAGACAAAGTACTTCCAATAAGCTGATTGAATGTTTGTGCTCTTGAAATAAAGCTACTCCTAGGGAGAAAGTATATTTTAGTGTTTAGAACACAAAGCTAGAACTCTGTTAGAACTTAAACATTTGAATTATGCTGGATATCTTGGTAGCCAACACTGAGGAAAAGCAGCTTTTATCATCAGGCTGTCTGTGTAATTCTTCAGCACATCTTCCATGTATTCTCTTTCTTGCCTTGGGCCTATGAACATCGTTCATCAGCACTAGAACTTAATAAGTTCCCAATCTTTTGCTTGTGTTTTAAAGTTTAAAATATCTATTTTCACAGTGGGGAAACAGTTGTTTATTTTCTTGTGTGTGTGTTGTGCCATAGGAAAATAAATAATATAGTGCTTTGTCAGTCTGGCTTGTGTCTTCCCTGCAAGCAGAATGTGTATCACAATGGAATTTTTATGTTGTGGTGTGTGAGCATGACTTGTGAAGTGCAGGAGATAGAATGTGACAAGGAGATGAGTCTCCCTTCCGAGTCTGTCTGAAGATGTGAGTGGGTGCAGTGAAGAAGAAACATGAGGTTGCTGCTGACAGTTGGAATCAACCGATAACTGGCAACTTGAATTCTGTTTTCTGAGGGCACTGAAGTAGAGATGAGGACGGGCATGGCTAATCTTTCTTAATTGGGATGTTGTCTCAGTCATCTTGCAGAGCTTTGGAAGAAGATGAACTTGGGCGTGTAGACAGAAAAATAGATGTGAAAGAGAATTTGAGTTGGACATAAATGGGGAGAGTAGTGTAATAGGGAATTGTGTTTTGAGGGCAAAGCAGCTGAGAAAGAAAATATCCCTAACCATAGGTTGTTCATGCTAGTGTGGGCATTTTATTGTTCTGAATTCAAGGAATATATTCTGCAGAAGGTGTGATGTTTGGTTATGGTTAGCATACTTAACTAGTCTGCATTATCAGTCCTCCAAAAGGAAACGTGAGTGAAACGGTTATTATTCAACTTAAAATGTTGTTCAGCATATAAAAGCAAAATAGCATTTTCTTTCCTTCTGAGGGGATCAGGAATGTCCAGACAACCTGATGACCAGTCTAATGTCCAGACAAAATAACCTAATTTATGACGTTTCTACCTCTTCAGACAGGGAAGTGAACAGAAATGCTTCATCGATCCTGTTCAGCACTCGAGGAACACATCTGCCCCCTGTGTTCTTCTAGGGATGCTTCTAATAGTAAATCAGAGAGGACAGTTTTTTTGATACTGGTTATTAATTATATTAATTAACACATAATTAATATGTATTAATTTGAGCTGTACCTAGGGGAGTGATGTTATGAAAGTGGGGGGACCTGAGGGCACTGGTTTGCCTGGCCACACTGTGGTTAAGCACACACCGTATCGGAATGTTACACAATCCTCTGTGGCACACCCCTCATCTTGGTCTTCAAAACATTATCAGTTCCACAGAATTAAATTCAAAGGTGGTTTTTGTTTTGTTTTGTTTTTTTGCTTTTTTCTCATTGCAGCAGAGTGGCCGAAGACCATGACAGGTCTCCCAAGCACATCAGGAACTACTGCCAGCGTGGTGATTATCCGCGGGTCAAAGATGTACGTTGCTCACGTTGGCGATTCAGGAGTGGTCCTGGGAGTCCAGGATGACCCCAAAGACGACTTTGTGAGAGCTGTGGAGGTGACACAGGACCATAAACCGGAACTTCCTAAAGAAAGGGAGAGAATTGAAGGCCTTGGGGGCAGGTAAGTGTCTCTGATTTCTATTTCAGGTTTGATCTCTGGGTGCTGTTTGTGTCCTTCTGACTGAACTAGGGTTCAGCTCGCTTGTTTTAGTGGGGGGCAAGCAAGCTGGTGAATGTCATAGTCTATTTATATTCCTTCCCTATCTGTGCTCTGTTTTTTTTCCTAGCTTGTTGGGGTATGAGTTATAGTGATCTATCGTTACACCGTTGTGCTTTTTTATTAGTGGTTTATGGTATAAACAAAATTTTAACTTCCTGGTGGATTCCCATGCAGCTGATGTGTGGTTACAATTCTAAATGTTCACTGAAAACTTTGCAAGTAAAGATACTGATATTTGACCTATTTTTCATTAAAATCTGATTAATCTGGAGGGGAAAAAAATTGCCTTTCCATATAGATAAAGATACGAGCTCTGGAGTATCTGTTTTGTCATTTCCCATACATTCTGCATTGTTTCTGAGGTGACAATGGCAGCTTTTGAGTAGGCTCTTCAAGGCTTCCATTTAAGGAACATTGAAAAAAAAAAAAACCCCAAAACTTAGATTTGAAATGAGACACATTTGCTGTGTTTGAATAGACACTTAAATTGTTAGAATACAGCATTTTAACGCGTATCTTGAGACTGGTAACTTCTTCATTGTCAGGACCTGGCAGATGTTAGGAGTTGTGGTTGCTGTGTGTTCCCTGTGACTGAGGAGGAGGCAGGCAGGTTTATCAGTTGGCACTAATGTTTTGAGACAAACCTCAGGGCTTGGGTTTGGCGTAGCTTCACAGGAGCTCTCTGTTCCTTCGTTCTATGGTGCCACACCAGATGGATGGGCACAGTTTCCTTCTCTTAGCAGTTCAGAGACAGATCACTGAAAGTTTCCCTGTTGGTATCGTTCATAGGAGAAGCCTGTCAGCTCATTAACCTTCAGATATTTGTATCTCCAGCAGGTGGAAGTTGAGCAGTTAGCTGTATTAGGGGTGGTAGCTTTTCAGAGAGGGTAACTACCAGTTTCGCTAGGTTAGCACTTGTAAATGTGTGGGTTTGCAAGTTGTGTGTCTTGGAGACTGAAAGTCTCTGAAGCTTCAGAGAAGCATTCCCTGGGACTTTTTATCAGGAGGAAATGTTAAAAAAATCTTAAAAAAAAAAAAAAAAAAAAGAAAAAGTTTTTTTTACTGGTGCTCCTTCAGTTTTTCCCAGGCTGGCTGGTGCAGGCTGTTGTGAGGCAAATGGTAGGAGTGAGGTGGAACCATGCAACTACACTTTTTAATGTCTTTTATTTCATGAGAGTGAATTGGGAAAAGTTAATGGGAGAGCATAATTGAGTCTTTCATTAAAATGGTATTTTCCCAGTAACAGTCTCTGAGTGTGGGATGAGGTCTTCTTTCAGATAATGACTGAAGTTGGCTTTGTGTGGCCATTAGTTGTACAAATGGGTGAGACTGATTTTTAGGATGCGGTGGTTGTGACTTTGCACTGTGCATGCGAAAGGATGGAGCTAAACATGCCCTTGTTGTTAAGGCCTTTGAAGTCTCAGGAAGTGCATCTTGAATAGCTTCAGTATGAGGAATCTTGAGGCTGTTCCAGAGGTTCTCAGTTTCTAATTACCAATGGCTGTTCCTTGGTTAAAAGCTAGCTTTTAAGTATCTAGTTCTTAACTTGGTTGGGACCAAGCTTTGCTATTTCTGTGTTCCATTACCTTTTCCTTCCTGGTGGCCTAATACTCACTCTGTTCTTTGTTCTCTGCCTTCCCTGCCCCATAACAGCTGCCCCACTTACTTGCTCTGTAGCTTCTCCTTTGACCCTTCTAATGCCATCTCTGAGAACTAAACCCAGTGTTCAGTGCCTCAGAGCAGGTGTTACCATTCAAATGAAGACCTGTTTCTCCCTATCTCCTGCTTTCAGCAGAGAGCAGGTATGAAGAGTTCCTCTTTAATTTCTGCCTTGTGTTGCACCATTAAGGAAATCCCTACAGAAGGCTGCTCCTTTCTCTTTTGTTTTTTTTCTGTGGTACTGTGGTGCTCTTTACTGCTGAGCTTTGGCAGATGGAGAAAACTAAAGGAGGAACTACATGGTATTTCCACCCGAGTGAATTGACGTTGATGGTCCTCAGCTGAGGAAAGCAAATTCAGTTTTGCTTTTTCTCCAACAGATTAAAAGACACTCTTACATCTGGTTATTGCAGCCAGCAGAATTTCTTCCAGGTCTTAATTCCCCTGCTTTTTCTTTTCTTCTGCCCTTCATCTCTCACTTTTCCCTTTGGCTTAATATGGAATGAAACTATCTAAGTGATACCATGTGTCTTGAAATACTTAATTGTGCTGTGGACTTCCCTGAGGGTGCTGTCATTCGTTATTGACTCCATATTAGCATATTTAACTTGTTTTGTGTCATTGAAATGAACTTTCATGCTTTCCTTTCCATTCCTTTTTAACCTCTGCCTCTTTCTGATGTTTCTAGTGTGATCAACAAGTCTGGCGTGAATCGTGTCGTTTGGAAGAGGCCTCGTCTGACTCACAATGGCCCCGTGCGCCGCAGCACCGTCATCGACCAGATTCCGTTCCTGGCAGTTGCCAGAGCGCTTGGTAAGTCGTGCCCGTGCTTGGAAAGTGAGACACCACCGCCTGCAGAACACCAGAACTGAGTTACACTCTGTTTTGCCAAAAGAGATGGTTTAGAGGGATTTTCTCACTTGCCTTGATGACAAGGCTTTCTGAAAGTGCCAGCCTTTTCAAAGTGTTTTTAATACAGTATGGATTTCACTTTTCAAATAAAGCTGTAGAAGGTGTCACTGATGAGTGAAGGACTTGCCCTACAACAGGCAGGATTTTAAATGTCAGTCTTACAAGGATGGTACTTCATTTCTGTTGCAAATGAAAACGTACAAAGCAGAATGTGTCTCCAAAATGGAGAGTACATTTGTCTTTTTCTTACTGAAATAATAGAACTGTAATTTTTGACAAGGTGGTGGCAAGACTAAGTTTTGCTGCCTAGCAGATGAATTACTTTGGTCTTCCTTTTGTGGTGAATCTGTTTTCTTTCAAGACTTAGCATAGAATGAGCAAAGGGATGAAAGTCAAGTCTGTGTTTTATCTGTAACTTGCTGTTGCGAGGCTTTTAGTAATGGGAAACTCTCTTTGAGGAACACTTTATTCAGAGGACAAAAGAGGCATATTACAGCACTGAGCAAATGTGCTATGAATGGTTTTTGAGAAATACTTCATAACTTAATCTTTGGATCCCTCTTGCCTATGAGTGTTAGTGTTTTCTGGTCAGGTTTTCTTCCTTAAATTTCATTGCGGAATTCCAATCTTCTGCAATTAATTTTGTTTCCTTCCTTCCTCTCTTTGCCCCTGTGAAGAATCCAGATATACCTGGTGTAGATTTGATTTTATGGAGATACAATATCATATTTTTACCTGTGAAAACTGTCCTGTGACTTAATTTCTTCTTGGCAAGCTTGACAGTTATGTGATAGTGTTGTCAGTGTTCCTAGCTCAGCTGGCAGTGTGTCACGGGGACAGTCTGTTCCTGGGACCCTGGTCATCTTGATAATTGCATAGCATTACTGTGTCTTATTTCAAAGGCAGTGATATCACTTTCACATGGATTTGTCCAGTGTTAAGAATAATTTTGCAGTGGTAACTAACTGTGTATCAAGGAAACAGTCAAAGGTGGCTAGATGGCTGGAGGGTGATCTTTTAATAATAAAATTTTAATTTTATGAATATTTTTCTCTTAAAAGCCTTTATTATGTGACATTTTAGGCAAGGTAGTTGCTTATTTTAGGGTTAGTAAAATTGACCTGAGAGTCTGAGAAATCCTTCAGGGTTAATAGATGACTAGGAAAGAGATCTTCATCCCCTGAGCAACACATTCCTCTCTTCCCCGTTTCTGCAGAGGGGTGTGTGTTCCTCGTAGATAACAAAAAGTGTATACTTAATTTTGATGAATCTTTCATTCTGATGATTGCAAGTTTGTTGTTTGTCTAAATAGCTCAATGATTTTTGATCTGATTCCTCTCAGCAAGTCAGACAAAAGGATTTGGCTGGGTTTTGTGTGCATATGGGAATTCAAGGAATGAGGCATCTGTTAGCTGCCTATCGCGTTCTTTCCCGTTACGTGGATGAAGAGGATTACAGGAGAGCTTCAGGTCCAAGAAATGAGAACACCTATCCTTTCACAATTGGTGTCAAAAGTTAGCAGGTTTGAAAGGTCCAAAGAAGGCTTTTGTTATCTCAAATCATGGAGAAACAGGCTCATGATGTGACAGTGTTTGGTGTTTGCTGCTCAAGGAGCCTCCGTAGCCTTTTCACCTCCCCTTCTGAGGAGGTATGACAAACCTCCTGGAAAAAGGAACGCAGCTGCTTCGCTCTGCAGGACCCAGATGGTGCACAGACGCTCGCAGTTTGGAAACAGGATTTAACTCCTTTCTGAGGCCAGCATGCCCCTTACGCCGCTTACAAAAGACCTACCACGACCGAAGCCATTTGCATTCGTGCTATTGAGCCCTGCTCGACCTCTTGGCTGGCTCCCAGATTGCCCCCCTGGTTGGCACAGCACCGCTGCGTTGGAGCCTCTCTGAGTGGAGTAATAACTGTCAGTGTTGACGTGTACAGGTTCCCCACACTCCAGTCCATCCCACTAAGACCTCACACAATGATTCTTTTTGCTAAATCCAGACTCGGTTGTTATTCATGATGGAAATCCCGTACAGATCCCAGACTGGACAGTAACTGGACAGTAATTTTTAGTAGGAGAGCAAGAGTCTGTCAATACTCTACTCTGCACTGCTGAGAGAAACCTAGAGTTGTGCATTTACTGTCTTTAAAGTGGGCAGATTATCTGATTAAAAACCCTAAACTTTAGACCATAGGTGTTTGGGTTTTTTTCTGAAGTTTTTCTTCCTAAAATTTAGAACACAGGGTTTTGGGTTTTTTTTAAGTTTCTTTTTTTCTTACAACACTTTAAAATATGTTGATGTAGTCTCATCCCTCATCCAGTCCTGGCACTCATTGTAAGGAGGAGAGCAGAAGTGTTGGAAATGGCAGGAATAAAGCACTGGGGAGAAGTGTTGCACTGGTCAGGTGTTTGGACAGCAGAAAGGAGAGTGGTGCAATAGAAGTCCTTCTGGGCAGATTTAGTTCTGTTGACATTCCCTTTACTGTTCTGATTGCCTACAGTGTCTTTCTCCCTTAAAATAAGCATTTGTGGTATGTGCTTTTTATTACCACTGCTTCTCACGACAGTAGAGGCTGCATTTAAGTGATGTTTAATTTATTTATAGCCCCATAACAAGTCAGAAATACTTTGGCTTCATACTGTCTGTAAAGTATCTGAATGCTGCTTTTACTGTGTACGGGATTCAAGTCTTCTAGTGAAATATTTTAAACTGTAGCAGAGTATTCTACATCTTAAGCACAGCTATTTCTGCTAACCTTTTCTGGGCAATGAAAATATCTTTGTATCAATTTCTCGTAATAGATATTTACAAATCCTGTGCAATCCCTGAGTTGTTCACCTCAGGACTTGCTAGCCGTTCTGATCAGAAGAGCATTTTGTTTCCTTAGAGTGTAATCCTTTGAGTGAGTTTCCTGGCACCTGTAGCTTCATGGTAACTGTCCATTTTGTACCCCTGTCCCTAAAGCAGGTATGAGGTAACTCAAATTACTTAAATCCCTTTGTGTAAGGCAAGGCTACGAGTGCAAATTACTGGATATGGTAGAGCAGGTGCTCAGGGGCAACGAGCCATCATGTAACTTGTGTGTTTTGAAGTGTCTGCGTGTGTCATTGCATCATGTATTAGTTATTGTCTCCCTGTGGAGACAGGAACTCTGTGTGGTACTCAGGAAGGCACTGCAGACTCCTCTGAGCACACTTCTGTGTGTGTGTCTCAGGGAAGAAGGCCGAGAGGGGAAATAACCTGCTCAGTGTATAACGTAACCTAACAGCCAGATTCATGCTGGCAGAAGGGCTCCGTTTCAGCTCTGCCAACTCTAAATACATAAACTTAGACCCGTTTGGGGGATGATAAGAACAAGGCTGTAAGTGTGCAGGATGATGTGTGTTTTGTTCCCATGTGTTGAACCCATCGTGGAAAAACGGAACAAAGAGTTTTGATCTTTGGAAACCAATTTGGAAGTAAAATCTGGCAATGTGTGTAACTTTCCAAGGTGGTATACAAAATAAGGGAAGTACAGAAAAGCTGCAGTCTGAGCTCTGAATATCTTATGGTACAGCTTGAAACAAGAACAGAGTGTAGAAACAAGTAGGCAAATGATGTGATTAATCCCTGAGCTTTGTAGGTTGGCTATAAGTGTAACTTAAACTCATTGTAGTTTTCTGAAGCTGCTATTTAAGTTCATATCCCCAGCTGTCCCCCAGCCTGATCAAGTTGACTGGTAATGTCTGGTGTGGTGGCTCAAATGGGTCTCAATTGGTATTTTAAATCGTATGGGATCTCTTTTGTTGGTAAATTAGTTCAGGTCTAAATCTAGTAAATCTTTTGTCGACTTCATTACTTACCCCTTGTCTTCAGCTAAGCAAATGCTGCCAAGATTGTCTTTTGAAGCTTGAAATTCCACCTTAGTGTTCATTTGAAGGATGTTATTCAAGGCCAGAAATTGTCAGTAGCTTTCTGCATGCCATTTTAGCTCTTCACCTCTACTTCTGCACATTAATTCTTGCAGACTTTTCTCATGCAGTGTGCTGTGGTGTAGCCCTAGGCAGACACCTTTTTTCTGTTACCTGTGATTTTGCTAACAGAGAAGCAGAGATGAGCAGTCATGGTGGAGACTGACTTATGAGCAGCTTTTATTTAATCATTCATTTAAAATGTCATTATTTGTTTAATTTGCTGTTGAAATAACCATTCTCTTGTCCATGTTTTCATTTTCTGCATAGTACTGAGGGGGACATTCTTTCAACAGGTTTGACTAAAATAGGATGTAAAAGAAACTTCTAAAAAGTACTTTTACAGGAGCAGTGACAGTTTGAAAGGCTCAAGTGCTTCAGTGTAATTTTTCTTCTTACTTCTACCTTCAGTTTTGTCCCCACCCCTCAGGCTGAACTGTCTGATGGTTCCTGGGTTGTCTGAACTGGATTCTGCGTTGCGTTCATCTCTAGGCTGCTGTGAAGATGCCCTCTCGTGGCTGTAGGACTCGGTTACCATCAGTTTTGGTGGAAACGTTTTTCACCCCAGCTCAGCCTGAATGGTTTTAAGTGGTTCCTGTCTGTATCCTCGCTGAGATTTGTCTCACTTCCTAGCAGTGCTGCCTCACTGGCAGTGAAAAAAGGAAGTTCTGCAAGTCTTCTCTTTGTACTAGCAGACCTCTTAGATAAAACTTTGCTTTTAAAAGATCTGGGATTAATCAAACTGGGTGTTCGTGTTGGACTGAATAACAAAAGTAAACTTCTCTTTCCTCTATTAAAACCAAAAGATATTTTTGTATTCAAACCAGCATGCTCCAGAAACATAAATGAAAGACTTGATTTATGAGACTTTTGGACATACTTTTGCTGTAAGAAGGTTTTGGGCTTAATCCAGTTCAGTCTACTTATATGATGGGTGTTTTTTGTTTGTAATTTCAATTACTTTCCTGGCAGCAGCAGATTTACAAGTAGGTTTTTTTCCATTGTGTTTTAAAAAGTTATAGTAAGCAGATGAGATAGACTGCATGTTTTGATATATTCTTACAGGTAGCTGAATTGGTTTCCTGCTCCTTTAGTATCTGATTTCAAACATCTATTTTTCATTTCATAAGATGCAATGTAATTTTTCTGTAGATCTCTATATATTATTCCAGTTCTAGTTGTGACTAAAAAACAGGTATGATTTTTTTTTCTGGAAAATACAGAAGGAGCTCCATGAATGCCACTTTTTTTTTTGTTTTGAAAAAGAAGTATGCAAGCTTCACACCAAAAGAAGTATTCCTGCTCTGTAAGATTTTAGAGAACAAGATTGTTGAGTTTTGTAAATGTTTGTGTTTTAATTTGGAACAAAAATAGTGTGGCTCACAAAGTGAAGTCTGAGAACCTGGCATTCCAGTTCTGCAATGTGAGCCTTTGGTGTATCACACCATCTTGCTTTCTTGGCTTCCCCGTCTGCTGAATGGTCACTTGTCCAACTCCTTGTTTTGGGATGGAATTAAAGATTTCAGAGCACTTTGAAATGCACAAGGAAAAGTGTGCTCTGCTTTCTGTCTTATTTCCTCTCCCTTTTTCCTTCTCAGAACTGTAACAGAGGTACCATGTAAAGTGACTCTTCCTAAGTTTGTCATGTATTCCTCAGCTGCTGTGCTCTCCAGCTGGCCAGAGAAAGACACACAGCTGACATTTGTATTCTATCTATGCAGCAGCTTGAAAAAGCATCAACTCAGTCTGTGGTGCTCTGCCCTTTAGGGAGAAGAACAAAAAGTCCCTCACCCTAGTGCCATGGGTTGGCTTTTGCTGGCTTGGAGTTGAAGGATCTATGAGAATTGCTCTTTAAGTGAAGTACTGTTCCAGCAAGGATCACTCCTCTGCTTGATTAGTCTGGGTTTGTGGGTTTATGGGAGTAGGCTGACAGTAGATTAATGCTGAAGATAATTTCTTTAGGGCACTTGCAAGTGCTGGTTGTTTCCTTCTAGGCTGAGGAAGGAAGAATCTGGATTTTTCTATATGCCTCAGGCTTCAAATACATTTTGTGGAATTTTTCCTGGGTCACAGAAGAAAAGCTGGATTATTATTTTTTTTTTCCTCAGTTTCTGACATCCAGAGCTCCCTGTAGCTCCAGACTTGTCTGGAGTTGGTCAGTTAATACCCCATTGTGCTTTAACACTGGTCCATCGTACAACTTTGTAAATCAGTTGTTGTGTATTTCCGAGAGATTTTTGAGCTTGAAGAGATGAGTACAGTTGAATTTAAAACTCATGGAGATTCAGTTCTCACTGTACATTCCCAGCAAACTCGCAATGCTGTTTGACAGAGGCGATGCTCCAGGAGGTTATTGAAAGAATGCATTTTACCAAAAAATGGGTGTTTAATAAACTTAGTCTTTGAAGCTCTGAGACCTTGAACTAGTCCAGCTACTCCTCAGCCGTTGCTTTCACGAAAAAATACTTTATTCTTGTGGTATCTCATTTTTTCTCTTTCTGAGCCCTCTCCCCAGTTAAGAATGATGATAACAATGTAGAGCTGTGGCTTAGTTGGAGATCTGCAGCTGGATTTGGCCTGAGATGTGGACTGCTGCTACCAGGAAGTCTGGCAGCTGTTCTAATGCAGATGGTGGTGTGCCAGCTGTCAGTTCCTGTGTCAAGCCCACACCTCAGTCTGTAGTTTGGCCATGGTGTTGAGAAGGGCAACTCATTGTGGAGGGGAGACACTGAGGCTGGAAGGCTTTCAAGGGCAACTGGGAAGGTTGGGCTCCTGCTCAGGGGTTTGGCCTGTGATTTGTGAGGTGTGGATTGGTGTGTTCCCAGAATCTCTATGTGCCCTTCAGCAAGTTTCTAATCCTTGGAGTCTGTCCCTTTGATGACCAGTGTGATATTCCCAGTTATCCCCATGAGGAGCCCTCTTCCTTTTGGAGGAAGATTCTCTGAAGTGGGTATGATTATTACTCAGCTGTTTTCTCAGGAAGAGCTGCAGATGGGCATGATGACATGGATGTAGATGAACCAACATTAAATAGCAGCAGGTTATTTTTATCACAGAGCATGGTATTTTTAATAAAAAAATGATTCAGCTAATAAGATTTGTCATTTCTCCTAAATGAGTATGAACAAACTATCACATAAATGCATAAAAATATTATGCACATTGGAAATTGCTGCCACTGATTCCAGGATTTGGTGGTTGTAAGATCCCAAACTCTTGTTTATTTTACCTGCTGTGTCCATGACAGACATGATGTGAAAAAAAAAAAAATTGCATGAAGACTTTTCATGGCAATTCATAGACAATAATTGCTGTGCTGGAGCTCAGCTCTTCTGTTACAGTATTTATTTTGATCTTGTTGCCAGCTGGCTTGCTTTGTTGTGAGTCTGTGGAGGGAGAGTGCACCTTTGTAGGAGCAGGCTTGGCTTTTAATTAGCACTTATTAGAAGCATGTGTTTCTGTCTGCTGCTGCTCTGCAATGAAGGTGAATTGGTGCTTTAATGAGGATGGACCATCCATGCTTGCTGTGGTGAAGTGGAGTAATTGAGTTGAAGTATTCCCTTTCCTGATTCTGGAAAAGTCTTTTCAACTGGTTGATAGCTTAAGGCAAAGCTAATGGAAGGAAGTAAGAAGACAAAAAGCTTATTTATTATCTTTAAAAGGGTGGTGATGGATGTGGAAGAAGGCTACAGGCATGCTTTCTGAAGCCAGCAAAAAGCAAAGAAAAAAACCAACCTGACAAAACCTTACTCTTACACTGGAGTTCTTAAGCTCCTATAAGCTTCTCAACTTTGACATTTTAATTAATTTCTACTTTTAAAGCCATGTGTTCTGCACAGAAAAATTTAGCCAGTGCTTGCAAAGAATAATGTTACTTCTTGTTGCTCATCATTATAGGAAGCCGTGTATGAACATAAACAAAAAGGGAGAGAATGTGACACTGTTCTTGATTTACAGGCCCAACCTTAGGAAAAGCTTTTTATTTTTTTCAAGTATACCTGATAAATGAAATAAATTTATATAGAAATGGATTTTGTTGTTGGAGTGGTTTTCACTTGAGGATGATTTGGAGGAAGGACTTGAGCCAAGAGATGTTTTGATTCCAGCGAGTTACTCGGATTCAGTTCAGGCCATCGTTACTGGTGAGGTGACCCCGAACTCATTCACATAGCAAGAAAGATGTGAAAATAAAGGTCCACTGCACGCAGCCTTCCCAGGGAGAGGCTTCAGCTCTCATTTTCTGCTTTCCTGCTGGAACCCAGGCACTACTTGTGTTCCTGTGGCTTCTTTCCAACTCCAATATTTGGCACATGGTGTTCAGCTGGAATGATGCTCTAGCACAGCACTGTGTGGCTTTGAAAGTGATGCTGATGCTGTGTAAGGAGCAGGAATTAGAAAGAGAAATGAAGAGGGGAAAGGCTTCAGTCTCTCCTCCTTTGCCCTCTTCCTTTTTTCCTTCCCCATGGCATCTGTGTGCACAAATACACACACCCCAAGACATAACCATGTGTTTCTGTATTGCTCAGGTGGCTGTGGAGGATCTCAAGTTGGTTTTGGGTTGGGGTTTTTTGGTTGGTTGTTTGGTTTTTTTTTGTTGTTGTTGTTGTTTTGGGTTTTGGTTTTTATTTTAGCAAAAGCAGCTTAGCACCTTGCCTGTGAAAAGGTGGGGTTTCTTAGGTTGGTGTGTTTTCACGTTGTGGTTTGGTTTTTTGTTTTTTCTATGAGCAGGACTTGTTAGGGTGTGCACACCATTGTGATGCAGACTGCAGTCTAATGCTCTAAGTGATGTTAGGGAAACAAAGGGTTTTATATGATCCTCCCTCCCAAACTCCAACCTAGTTCTGTAAACTTGTACCCTGTACAAGGGTAAGGATTTTGTCTCCAGTATATAAACTGTTCCAAGAACTGGAAAGGCAGATTTTTGCAAGTTTGGTGTGGGTTCAACAAAGTAAGGCTTTACTTCTGTTTAAGGAGAATTGTATTCAGATAGGTTTTAGTTTGGATATTGAGGTTTCACTGTTTTCTAGGTATTAATCTGTTACATTTTCTGAAAAATGTTAGTTTTAAGAGAGTAGGCAACCTCCTATAAACATAGGTTGGTTTGAAGATGTTTTTATTTCAATTGCTACATGTTAATAATTATGATGGGAAGGTGACAGCAGCAGAACAGTAATTGCACTGAAATCACTTCGTGTTACTGTTGCTGACCTGAGACTGGTGGCAATTGTTTTCATGGGAATATTTTTCTGTAGTTTCCAAGATTCAGATTTTCGTGTGTAATTAACAATTCAAAAACTTGTTCTTCTTTGCTAGGTGATCTTTGGAGCTACGACTTCTACAGTGGTGAATTTGTTGTGTCTCCTGAACCTGACACTAGTGTGCACACAATTGATCCCCAGAAGCACAAATATATTATCCTTGGCAGTGATGGACTGTGGAACATGATCCCACCTCAAGATGCTATCTCCATGTGCCAGGATCACGAGGAGAAAAAGTGCTTCATGGTGAGAGCAGTGGCTAGAAGTCATTGTGGAAATTTAATACTTTTTTCCCCTCCAAAAATTGCTTGGTCTGACATGTATGAAAAGTACCCAACAGTGGCGTTGTTGTTTGAGCACGTTCATAGTTTTGCACAGAAGTTATTACAGTGTGGCTGATGTCAAATACCACACATGTTAACACTGTTTGATTTATTTGGTTGTTATTTTGGGGAAATTTTACTACCAGGATGGTATCTGGAATAAAGAAGATAACATGTTCCTTCTCTACGGAAGTTACACAAAATATTGTCTGAAAACGAAATTTATTTCACATTAAAGATGCGTGTTACAATGCAGACAGTTATTTCTTTTTACATGATTTTTACAGAGTCTGAATTAAATTATTCTCTAGTTTATTTTACAAAACATCTGAGAATTATATAGTGGAGCATCTGAGCATCAGATAGTAAATAGTCAGTAAACCCCTTGAGAGACTTTTAGACTATAGGATGTGTTACAACCAGGCTATTTATGTAAGACATTGCATCAGTTTTATGGCTTAAAGAACTCCTATATATGTGGATTCTGCCATAAACTGATTTTAAAGTTATATTTCACTAAGAAGAAAGATCGTTTCAATTAATATTTCCTCTTGTGTTTCTGAATCAAGCTCCTTTAGCACAATATATAGGAATATATATCTCAGGCTGTGCCACATAAACTGTCTGTCTTCTGTTTATGAAGTAAATTGGACCTGATTGCTTTCTCTGTCCCTTTCTTCTGCCGTAAAGGGAGAGCACCGCCAGTCTTGTGCCAAGATGCTGGTGAACAGAGCACTGGGCCGGTGGCGGCAGCGCATGCTTCGTGCAGATAACACTAGTGCCATCGTCATCTGCATCTCGCCGTTGCAGGACAGCAAAAGCAACTTGGAAAATGAAGAAGAATTGTATCTCAACTTGGCTGAGAGTCCCTCCTATAGCAGCCCTGATACGAATGTCATGACACCCTCTCGCTGCTGTACCCCCCCTGTCAAGGTAACGTTTGGTTTGAGTTTTCAGTGTTTTCCGTGTTCCGCTTTTCGGGAGTAGAGGGGAGTGGAAAACCAAGAAACTGCTAGAAACCATTCTGGTTATTTTCTCTTCACAGTGCATTTTATTAAACCCTAGTAGTAGGTTTTTCAGAAGTGCTGAGCAGTCCTGGATCTGTTCTTGAAGGTGAATTGAAGTTGTTCTGGTTTGTGAATTCCAAAGCATCTGTTTATTCATGTTACACTGACTTACTCTGAGTTTTCAGCATGTTATTGTCTTTAAAGTAATTGTCATTTGCCTTACACTGGTGGTATGTAGAATAACGTGGCCTTGAAATTTACTTTTGAAGGACTCACTGAGTAGCTAGGGATTTCTTCACAATTAAATCTTTAATAAGGTCATAATTCATATCTTCAGGGCACTGCATAAATACTCATTTTCATAATCCCCCTGTGGATAGTGAAAGCAAGTATTGTCCCCATTTTCCTGTTGGAAAAACTGAGAATAAGGCAAAAACACTTATCAAAGGCTGCAGAAGGGATGAGTAGCTGAAGGAAGGGGTAGAGTTTAGAAGGTCCCTGGCTCTCAGGATGTCATATTAAGCAGCTTCTCTTCAAAGCACAGAATGACTGTGCTTCATAGAGTGGGCAGATGTGCTGTGAGGAATGGAGTTGCTTTCTTTACAAGTTGTAGAGCATAAAACTAGGCAATGAAATGTGTTACTTTGCATAGCAAACAGTAACTATTTTTAGAATAGCTTTGTCCAGTGCTCCAGCTTCGTGTGCAGTCAGGACACCTATGATGAAAGGGATGACAGATCTTCCTGATCATCTGGTCATGCAGTAACTAACAATTCTGAATGTAACAAAGGTCGGAAGACTTCTGCTGTTTGCTGCCATAGTGCTTGGCCATCTGATGTATAAAATCTTCAGAAGGCGGTATAGGTGCATATATCACAGTGTCTGAAGGAGGGAAGTCCTGTCTGCATGTTGGAAAATGCTACTGATGAAAATCATAGGACAGGGATTGCAGGCACTGCTTTCTACACGGCTGCCTAAACCAACAGCAGCTGCACGCAGATTCCTCGGCGTTTTCCAGCAGCAAAAAGGAAGGTACAGAGGCTGAGGAGGTGTGAGCAGCCCTCTGAACGGGACGGTTACACATCTGCCCTTATGAGACACGTGCAGACTGGGTGACTGAAATAAATGCTTTTATGGAGCTGGTATGAACAAAGTACCGAGTTCAGATCCACAGTTTGAATCTGTTTCCAGCTCTCAGCGTGGAGAAGAGATAACTCTGTTTTGGAGTAGGACTTTTCTGTCCTTGATGAGGTTTAGAGAAGTTCTGTCACATGCAGCCTCCACCCTCAAAGGATAACGTGGGTGAAATAATTATATTTATGCATAAATTATTATTTTTTTTTTTTTTCCCCCCCTCAGCTTTTAGAAGATGATCCATGGCCACGGCTGAATGCTTCTGAGCCTATTCCTCCCCTCATGCATAGCAACATGATCTCGGAAAAATATTTAGAGCTGCCAAACGAGCTTGCCAAAAGCAGTTTACCTTCATCAGGAGCGACCCTGAAGGATTCAGGCCCACAGGAGGAGAAGTGCACCAAAGCGTTGGCTTTGAGGATACAGGAATCCTACAGTAACGGTTTGTCAGTCAGCCTCTCCCCTTCCAACTCCGCAAATTCAGGCACGGACCAAAAAGGCTTCAAGGTCTCCCCTAATGGCCAAACAAAAGCCCCAGATGCAGAGAGGACACCCACAGCAAACTTTAAAAGGACATTAGAAGAATCCAACTCTGGCCCAGCTGTGAAGAAGCCAAGACGCAGCCTGAGTCGAAACATCGGTGTCCAGCCAGAAGGCGTGTCCGCCACGCCACAGCGCAAGAACTCCAACAAGCTGACCATGCGGCGCAGCCTGCGGGGCCAGAAGAAGCTCAGCAACTCCCTCTTCCACCCGCCCAGGAAAGCAGTCTGCGTTTGCTGAAGGGCATTTTTTGTGTAAGGAAGTGTATTTTGATCTGATTAGAATTTTAAAGTTGGTGCAGAAGTTTGAAACTCTTCCCGTTTATCTTTTTTTAAAGTAGAAACTTTTTTTGGTATCAAACAGCTTTATCCCAGCGTTGTACTTGCTTGTATTATAACTGTGAATTTTGTAGATGTGTAGGGTATAAGTCACTGTAAAATGTGTGTAAATTTGTATTCCTTCATATAAATGTAGTCTCTTTTCTTCCTTGTATAATTGTTACAGCGGGGCTAAACCTTGTTTTAAAAAAAAAATAATAATCCTTTTTGTTAATTTACTAAAGTCATGAATTTGTATACGCTTCTTGTGATGAGAATTTCACAACTTTTTAACTAAAGTAAATTATTAAACAGAATGGAAGATATGTATTTTCGTAGTACTATACGTTCCACCTAAAGTGTGTCTTTTAGAGAATACACTAGGTCTATATTTTGGTTTTAAATTTTAGATTTCTCTACTCAGAAATGAAATGTACGTGGAAGCGGAGATGTTGAGTCTTGCTTTACACAGCTCAATGTCGATCTCTTTATGTTAATTAAAATACTATGCAGTATCTTATTTAGTTGTATTTTTTGTAACATTAATCGTCAAAGTATTTAGCAAAAAAAAGTGTGTGTTTTAAAACTCTGACTCCCAAAAGCATCGTACAAAGCCATTCCCATCCCCTGTTACAAATGATGGCATTTTTATCCAGGCATAAATGTCTGCCTTAGAGGCATGAATTTTCTGCTATTCCAATACTGATGGTGCTGCTAATACCTTTCAACATAAGTTCTTAAATTATTTTATGACTATTTTCATTGAGTATGTGGACCATGTGTATGTTCACCTAAATAAAACACATGAAAATTTGATGGGGGTGCTTTTTTTTTTTTTTGGTTGACCACATTCATATTTATTTTGTATTTATTAAAAATCTCATCCTGTCCCCTTCACCGTGGCTACGTGACTTATGAGCCGAGACATCCCACATAGTTTAATTATGGAACTGATCGTGGCACTTCATACTGAATGTTTTAACTGTAGCAGGATAGAACCTGCATTATTTTTGGTTTTTAATGGAGAAGTAAAAGGGCAGTATTTTATTCCAAGGGCTAGGGTGGTTATTTATAGAATTTAATTCTTTACTGCTGGAACAATAAAACATGAAATCAGGCCTGCTAGCCCTATATGTTTCCATGGTTACAGAAATCCTAGGGGGAATCGTATGCTTTCTGAACATGTATAATTCTCTTTCATCCATCCTGTGAATGCAGCACTATCTTACAAGATGAAAGTAATGGTCTGTCCAATTTGGATCCTTCAAGAATTTATTTCTGTGTATGTGAGATGTAACCTACAGTTTAATAAAGTTTTCCTGTAGCTGATGCTGAAATTACACAGCACACACGTGGAGGGGAGGTACAGAGAGGCTAACAGCAGCTATAGACTGACTTAGCAACAGTCTTTGCAAAAAAGTAAGATAGAGTATTTGTCTATTTTCAATTAAACCTTGTGACATTCGACCTTTTAAAGATGACTGGTCACAATAACGATGTCACTAGAACATGTTCATTAGATGAGCGTTTTACTGCTGCTTATAATGTAAGTATGCAAAAGAACACTAACTACAGCAATTTTTCCTTTTTTTTTTTTTTTTTTGGTCTGTATAGAAGCAAAAGTTAAATTAAATTCTGCTGCATTCATGAATGTGTGCCTGGTTCTCTCAGATTTCCTCACACCAGTTCTAGACTTGGGCTTCTCCAGCTGGATGGGCAGACTTTTTTCACTTCTAGTAAACTAAACAAAACCTACATCTTTTCCTGGGAAAGCTGCTGCATGAGAGTAAGCATTAAACATTTAAATCTCCCCTGCAGTAAACACAAACTTACTTGCTGATATAAGCTGGCAGCAGTTTACTCTTGTGCATATTTTGCCCACCTACGTATCATTTGCCTTCTCTGGAATCACCAAAGCTGAGACAGCGAAGTGTGGAACTTTACAGATAATGTGTGAACAGTCTCCTTCTAGTAAAATCAAGTCTGAGTTACACCAACTATTTTGTTGTGAAATAAAT